TTAAAAAAGTGTTTCCTTTATTTTTCACCAAACTTATTTCATTTTAAAATTATAATTTTTGTCTTATATTGTTGGTTTCCAAGTGAACTGTATCAAGAATGATTGATGTTAAGGAAAGAACACCTCGATCTCGCTTCATCCATCAAATGTAGGAGTTCTGTCAATAAAAACTTGTGTGTAGAAGTTTTCATTTCTTTGCACACAGGAAATTATATTGGGCTTGATTATTGTATTTGTTGGGTAAACTACATAATAAAGAAATATTTCTGGGTTCATTTTCACCAATTGGTGTTGGTTGAGTAAAATCCACATTCATATATATTTTTAGATAGTTACAGTAATTTTAACTAATTATCCAATAATTTTTTTCATAAATTGTTTTTAATATCACAATGTTGATAGTTATTGATTTTGATTACCACTAAATAAATTATTTTTCGTGATATTTAAGTTTCTTTTTTCTGAATTGTTTTGTGTACATACATACAAGGTCAATGTTTTCTAGCAAATCGTCTAATATAAGATTTTGTTTTTTAAAGAGTGGCACATATTGGCGATGCTACAGAATTGAATTTTTATTTCCTTATCGCGATTGTTTTTAGTAAATTATTACTGTATTCACTGAATTTATTACAAGAGTTAATCTATTTGAACTTTAATATTGGTGATTTAACTAATATTAGAGTCGTAGCCCCTTAGCTGTAATAATTTGCATTTTTATATGCCAACAGAAAATAAAAAAATCAAGATCCACAATCTTTTTGTGGTGTAAAAAGAGTAAAATAACAACAAAAAAGTATTATTAACAGAATATTTTCACCATCCAAAAATCAAAATATAATATTAAAGCGATATAGTATTTAATAATACAACTATCACGTTCAATACAGGGCAAACAACAAGTAAACACCGACGCACAACATCGTGGAATACAAGTGTTAGGAAAGTTGTGAGGTATGGGGACCACGAATGGCATGCGACCACAATACCCCCCCCCCCCTCCCCACCACCTGTACAACCCCCCCCCATTTATATCTAACAGGAGATCGCATCACCTTCCCCCACCACAGTAACCTTATTGTCTATATGTATAACAGTGTCTGGAACAACATAACACCAGATTGTGTTTTCCCAGTAACTGGACAACCATGTCTGAAAGATATTAATAACTTATTTCGCATTATGTGTTTTTCTCCAAGTATTTGAGACTACAGTAGGAATTTATATACTCTACAGACACACGCACACTCTCTTTGTTTTAAGATCCACTGTTTTCTTAATCACTTTTAAAGGGGGAGCGAGTTGGCGTAGTGGTTAGAGCGACTTCAGTCCCATAGGTCGCGGGGTAGCCTGAAGAAATGTGAAAAACAATCCCAGGCTCGTGCCTAGCGTCCTAAGGACAAAAAAATCACTTAAAAAAATCATTATGTGTATTTAAATTTTACGTATGTATTAAATAACATATCGTTTATGAGTAAGTACATGGGTGGGAAGCTAGCTAATCTAGGGGTAAAGCGCGCGACTTTAGCCCCTGAGGTCCTGGGTTCCATTTCCAAAGACTTAAATTAAAATGTCATTAGCGTAGAAAAAAATTTCACCAAGTCACCAAAAGGTTTTATTTCACTGATAATGTCGCAACTCTTAAGCCTAGCCTGAAGTAACGTGGAAGACGATGACGGGACATGGCCTGCCGTAAAAAAGTACTTTGGTGGGAAAATGAACAAACTAAAAAATTCACATCATTATCGATAAAAAAAATACCATGCTTTGTGTAACTAAATAAAGTATAACATCAGCCTAACCATCAAATTGTATGCATTTGACCGTTTATTACTTAAAGTAAGTTTTTATATTTTGAATAGCTATTTAAAACGTATTTGGGCAACAACGCATTTAGAATAATTATAAATAATTTCATAGCTATACATCTGTTGTATATTAAAATCACTTAGACTTAAAATAATAAAGAAATAAATTTTGTTCCACCAATTCAATACTTTGGTGAAAGTTCCATATAAGACTGATGATTCGTCGTCACAATCTTCCTCTCCTCCATTCATCATCATCTTTCACTTTTCTTGTTTATTTTTCCTGTCAAGAAGTGAATCCATCTTCATAAAGCTTAACTTAGTCCTCTACTGGTTGACAGTAATACCATAGATGAAGTAATATTACTTAATCTATGAATACTTTTCAAAGTGTGGTAATATCCAGAAAAATATTCGACATAGTTAAACATACTGAAGTTATATTTGTTACTGAGACACAGAAACAGAATGAAAACTTTAAATAAATTATTAATGAAATGTGTTTCATAAGTGTTATACTGTATAGTCCTAAAAAAGTAGTAATATTTTTTCATTCATTTCTAGCCCTGGTCCACAGCTGCATAAAAACTAACACATATCCTATCCCTAAACAGAAAATTGATAAAAACAGTTTTTAGTAATAGAGAGATTTTTTTAAATCTATATATTAATACGGTACATGAAATTGTACATAGTTACATGTTCAAGTTACATGTTCACCTGAAAAAAAGTCCACTACTAATTAAACATAAGATCGCGTTTTTTGGCACAACTTTTTAAGGTGTCTTATAAAAAATAAAATTTATCTACTAGAAAAATAATTTTAAGTTTATTATCAATAGAGGTAATGGACAACAATTTGTACAAATAAATCTACCCCAAACCTTATCTATGGTTTCAATGAATGTAATATTTTAAATTAAAGAAGGTGACATTTAAATCAAACCACTTACTCAACACAATAATGTTTTAATATTTTTAATAAAGCTTATCTTATCCAGGGTTCTATGGAAGGATGAGTGACTACCAATAAGCTAACACTGTTTACTCAGCAAATGGGTGGTCCAACTCAGCTGGGAGTTCCCAAGGAGTCTTCGTGTTCTCACAGATGTTTTCTCTTTGGATATCTTTCATATTATTTGAAGAAAATGAGTCCATAGAATCATAACTTTTCTGTTTTATAAATTAATAATGTTATAATGATTTCAAATTTGTGAAGCATAGTAAAGTTATATTTTTATTAAAGAGGACATTGATGTTTCCAGAATGCTACAGGTGTAACTGGTTTCGTACCTTATTGAAAATTGGTTTAACTATGTCTTAGGAAATCATGTGCAATTCACTAGGCACCAATGTTGTTCAGCTATGTAATCGACTAATATGTCAATTTAAAATGGAAACATTAACAGACACAATTAATTGAAATCGGGAGGCATGATTTGGCTACACATTTGTGGAATTCCTTTCAGTTTCTTTTACTGAGTTTGGGGTTGTATTTTAGTACATTAACACATCTACAATCTACAACTAATAATACTTTGTGTTAATTAAAATTTTAAACCCACACCTTTCTTTGCAATCCAATGTGGTCTCCTTAATCAACTGTAAATCTACTTCAAAAGAATAAATCACGCTCCAAAAAACCCATGGTATGTGAAGTGCTGAGTAAAGATTACTTTTGTTAAAGCTATTAAATGACTTAACCGAGAACCCCTAGTACTTCATTGATCTGTAATTTCACGTAATAATAAAAAGAGTAAAATTAAAGTTAGGGGAATAAAAAATGTACTCTGTGTTTGGTTTCTTCATGTGTATGGTAGTAGATCAAGAGTTATTTTTAATCACTTACATCAAATTGTGTAGTACATTTTATATTTTAACTCACTCTATAATTCGTTAGGTGTTGATTTTCAGTAGACTGCATTTGGTATTATTATTATTTACCAAATGTTTCACAGCACTATAATTTTCTTTTAACACTACGTAACCTTAGCGTGCTAAAGTCTACCCATTCTTTAAAAGGCGCCCCGCAAAATTACAAAAATCTAATGAAGACGTTGATATATTTCCTTCACACCCTGGGGAGGTATTGTAACCAAGCTCTCCATCATTGTGTTGCTGTGAGAGTTTTCATGAGGTGTCACGTGACATTGTACCACGTGATATACGATGACAGATCACGTGACGACCATTGCTGTGACGTCATCGCGTTGAAATACTACATTGGTGCTTGGCTGCTGTCCTATTTGTGGCACTATTCCATTGAATGCTTTTGTTAAGATCATATAACAGTCTTGGGATAACACTACTTGTGTGAAATATACAGTTTTTTTTTAAATATAATTTACAACAAAAAACAAACGAGTAGAATAGAAACAAATACTATATAATGAATATATATTAAACAGGGTATAGTATAGGTAAACGACCGAACTCCGAGAAATAATTGAAATATAAAGAAAATACAAAAAAAACATATTAAAAATGACAATTTGGAAGCTTTAGCGAAGTGTTAAAAAAACACACAATATTGATTATAATGACGATGAAATTAATTGTTTTCATCGTGAACAATAACGTAGAGAAAAGTTGTAAAATGTCGATAGAATAATTTGTGTGGGCAGTCTATAATAGAAAGTGGTGCTAAGACTTAAGAGTTTTGCCCTTTTTTATGTTATCAACTAGATCAGGTCAAGCACACATTTAAATCGTAAGACAAATCCTTATTTCACTTTTAAACTCTAGACATACTGGTGAAACAACATGTTCTCAATTGTCTTCAGAATCTCTATAAAAATGTATACCATACACCTTTTGAGAGGAGCAAAAATATATGTAATCTTCTTCTTAATTTATGGTTCCTTGTAGCTTAGCAAATTTATTCAAAAATCCCAGAAACTACTTAAAAAATACTTTTACAGCCAGGAAAATAGTTGCAAATTTTTTTCGACAAAGCACCTTGTACAAGCTGTTACAAAATGTTAACTAAACGAACAAAAATGAAGAGATTGGCAGCAAAAAGTTTTTAAAACCATTCCACAACCACGAGGATAACTCATTCATTGCGACTAGGCAAGGGCAGGGAAGTGTCGATTGCCACCAATGACACCATTATTTACAACCCTCTGATAAGACCGGAGCTGTGTTATCTGGGACAGTTCAGCAAATAGCACCAGCGGTGTATGTGGTTTCTCTATGTACAAGGTTATTGGTTTGTTTAGTGGTGAAGTGCGCCATAATGATGACATAACCGTGCAAGTGCAGAAAACCCAGATTCGACCCACGGACAACGAACGGACCGAAAATGATGTTTAATAAGTACAATGTGTTTGTAAGTAGATTTGTTCGAAAGAGTGCGTTGAGTGTTTTATAAGGGAGAGAAAAGCGTTTAGAAAAATATATGTATTTTCGTATTTTTTAAAACATGTTTTATTCCTGCGAAACATTTATTTTGTATGCCTACATTAATATTAAAAGTTTACAAAAATATACATAAATTATTTCCTAAACTGTGGTTGCATTCATAATATTTTCCCTGTAGGCTACATAATATTTTTATAATGTAGGAAACATAAATTGGTTAATGGTAGAATACTGCTCAGTTACAAATTAAACATGATCTAGTAGCTGCTTTGAATTTATTAAAATGTAGCTTAGTTCAGTTATTGTCAACAGTATTCCAATGTAAAATCAAAGCTAGTAGAGCAAAATGCAAATGATTTACATTAAATTAAATAATTAAAACAACAGTTTCGTAATACCTGCGAACTATGAAGAGAATCTAGTAACTTCTTCAACAAGTTAGTTTACATTTCATCAGATAGAATAAATATTCCATTGCCGATAAAATTGTTCCCTGTCTTGTTAAACCAATGTTCTTTATTCGAACCCATAATTCACCTATTTGTTTTTCCATCACAACTTGTTTTGAATTGTGATAAATAAATGCATAGTTTTCATAGTTAAGCTATGTTTTGAATGGTCAAAGATAAAATAAGTTTCAAGGTTTATACCATTGCTCTCTTTAAATATTGGTGTAATAACTGACCTAGTAAAATAGAAATGTCTGCAAAATGTTATCATAAAAATAGTTTCAAATTTAATTGAACCCTAAATATTTATCTTGCAACTAATTACGTTGTTTTTGTTTATTGCCATTATACCTAAAATTCCAATTATAATTAAGTACAATAAATAGTTAATACCTTCGACAAACCCAAAAATTTGAAAACTGTATGCTAAAAACAAAAACAACAGCTAGGAAAAATATTAATTTGTTAAAGAGGTATAATTTGAAATGTTAGAACAGCTTTTAATTAAAGAATACGTTTTCAACTGACCTTGATGACGTTAGAGTATACTAGGTCAAGAACTATCACAGGAAGTATTTAACCTTCAAAGAGCAAATATAATGATTATGAAGGCAAGAGCAATATGATTACTGTTAATAATGATTTGCAAGTCTGGAATATGATACTGGAATATGATACTGGAATACGATACTGGAATATGATACTGGAATACGATACTGGAATACGATACTGGAATATGATACTGAAATATGATACTGGCATACGACACTGGAATATGATACTGGAATATGATACTGAATGTTTCAATTTAGATAACCGAATAAAAAAATAACAATAAAAACTTAAAAAGCCATTCACTATCGTCATGCCTATGTTTCCTAATACAGTAGTACCTTGATAACACGTATTTCATTGGGATGATCAAATATGCCTTGCTATCAAAGTTTACTCCTTACCAAGGTTTTTAATAGCAAGTAGTTAAGGGTAATATAAAATCAACGACATTTGAAAGTGGCAATTATATCAAGGGCCACTTGTTATTTAGATGGATGTTCCCCGAAGTGTCATCAGATTGCAGGCAGTTGGAAAATTGTGGGTGTTGGAAGATAATTTCTACGGTTTTTGGTGGGAATGTAGGATGGATGATTGGGGTAGCTAGATCCAGTGTATGCTGAATTATCACTTTAATCAAATCCATCGGTATTTCTTTTTTTTTTTTTTTTTGTAAATTATGTCCATCTTAGATTCATTAGACAGATGCATCAGGATAATTATTCTAAAAAATCCTGTCGACAGACTGTATCACGCACCACTGTGATAATAGAAGGAGACTGACGTCACAACCCCCCCCCCCCAATAGTCACCTTCGAAGAATATTACTATAAACAATGTCCTCTTCTCTTCTATAGATAAAAAAATATATTATATAGGTAGAGTATAAACATCTCTTTAAATGCAAAAGCAAAATCAATCAATAAATTTTTTTAAGATCTTATGGATTTACCAATATTGTTTTATGTAAAAGGTTTGTTGAATATTTTAACTCATTATTGTTTTTTAGAGGGACAAGTACCCGTTGGCCATCTTGTTTGTCGTAGCAAGTATATTCTTTGAAAAATTCTACAGCAGTGGCATGATAAGTAAGTAAAGTAAGTTAAGTATAAAATGTCATAATAAACTTTTGCAATGGCTAAACTACAAAGGATGAAAAAGTTCCAGCTCGTAAGGTATTTTAGCATAACTGGGTATACAATTTTGGATGGGGATGAGATCATGTAAGAAAAGACCCTACAACTCATTCTAATTTTTTTATTGTAACATATTAAATAATAATTTATTACGGAATTTGGTAGTGGAATTATATGTGTCTTGTTAACATGTAAAGATTGTGCATGTTCAAAACATGAGCACACAACCTTTCTTTTCATACTTTTAACCCTGGCTATATCTGTAATGTTTTCATTTGGAAATAATATGCGTTTAGTAAAAATTCATCTCGATTTGTAAGGGATGAAAAGTTGAACCAAGACAATTAATACTGTCATAAAATATCTAGTTCATATAATTTGTAAATCACATATAATTATGTGACTAACGATCTATGATATTTTTTTTTAATTGATAGAACCAAAGCATTAACCGGGAAATAGTAAACATTCACAATTAACAGCGTAAGTCCGGAAAATCAGCTGTTGTTCCTCTAGTTCAACAATAAGTCTATAACTTAGTGATGTGTCAACAGTCAAATATCATAAAATGTGTAGTAATAGTATCAGATGATCACAGGTATATTGTTATGTTCCTTGTTTTAGTTGTTTTTCTAGTCCACTTTGTGCAAATCAAAATAAAAGGGTTACAATACCTGCAGACTTCCTATAGTGGTACTTGAACAAACTCAACAGGATAACGCGTTTCGGTATTATCGTTTCGTGTTATCCTGTTGGATGATCAAAGACCACTATAGGAAGTCTACAGGTATTATAACCTTTTTTATTTTGATTGTTATGAATTTTACATTGTAATTTTTAACTCATCATTTGTGATTATATTTCAATCAGAAGTTACTAATTACTTTTATAAACAAACTTGGACAATTATTTCATTACATGACATAGTCTTTATAATGTTTGTGTCTTGTTGCAGCAATATTAACGCTTTATCTCGTAGACATTTTGAAGTTCTCAGAAACAGATGCCACACTGATATACCATGTGTACACAATGCTTGGTTCCTTCTTTCCTGTCATTGGAGGCATCATTGCTGACAGCTACCTCGGCAGATACAAGTAAGTTAAGTTCAAATTTCATATTTTATTCTTTTTTTATCAATGGTTCAAGTATTACATGATGACTTTTCATACCAGAGTAGAAATTTTGGACTAGGTTTACTTAATCTTTTTCTGTAATCAAAATCTAAGATAAAATGTTTACAGAGTTTGTTCATGGCATTTTGTTTCTCCTTAAAGAGACATGAAAGATGCCACGGTTTAAAATATGATATTATTTCGGGTTGGTTTGGTTAGAAGTTTGCATACAGTATAAATCGTTTTGATACCAGCACATTCTGTCGGAGGCTTGGTCCAATTAAGTCGATTTTCATCCTAAAACCAGGTGAATCTTCAATTATTTCTTCTTTAACGTGGGAATGGTTTGTTTACTTCTATCATCATTATGCTGCAACCAAATAAACAAAATGTTAAATTGGACACTCAAAATATTGTTTGATAGGCTTTTTGTGTAATAAAATTATACTTTCTTAAATATTTAGTATCTAATATGTTATTAAAAGCTAAAATAATAAAATAAACAAAAGATTCAAAATTTTTACTTAGGTTAAAGCAAACTACAGTTTTTCCCCGTGTTGGTAAAAATCTAAAGAAGTTTATTTGCTTTTGGGCTTTTATTAGACATTTGCCTTGATTCGCGTCTCAATTTCTTTATACAAAGCATCACAATTTGTTGTTGTTCTCCAATACGTCTTTATAAGATTATAATATGTTCCTTTACCATAAAAATATTAGGTTCCTAACCATTCATTCACAGTTTGTATTTGATATTTTTTTTGTATTATGTAATATACATTTTCGCCAGTTGTTTGTGTAAAGTGTACTTTTTTTGTGAAAAATTGTGTTTAAGAGCTGGAGAATTGGAGTCGTATATTTATTAAAACATGTTAACGAAATTAGCATAGTTACTTTTAAACTCCTTTTGGGCTTAAACAAAAAATTTCTTGGCTAAGTCCATACAATTATGGTTTCAATTGGTTGAATACTAAATAGGAACTGTTTATTTCATATGAAAATGCTAGTACTTCGTTACAGGAGTATATTTACTGTTTTATGAATCGTATTCCTTAGTTTTTCACTAACATTTGGATATGTTTCAAGGACGATTCTCTACCTAACCGTAGTGTATGTAGCTGGAGCTGTAGTGCTTACGACTGCATCAACGCCTTTCTTCGGCCATGTGGATAAAAGGTAAGTCTGTTAAAAGTACTATAAATGCACGCATTTGTTAAAAAAGTATTTTTATTTCGAAAAAAAGTGCTTGTTTAATTTAGAGATTATTTCTTAAATCCTCTTGAATAACAAATGATGAAATTGTTTGTACATTGAGTGCGCCCGGTCAAGTACGATGAAAACCACCTCACTGAGATGTCGTTAAACTGATTATACTTCAGCGTTGCAAGAAGCAACTCAAAATCTACCGAATCAAAAGCCTTAGAGAAGTCATTACACTGTTTAGGCCCTTATGTTTTGCAACGATCATTTCGTCAATATCATTGAGAAGAGCTGAACAAGTACTAACCCCTGCCTGAAACCTGACTGTGTTTAAGTAAGTAATCCTCCAGATTCTACATGAAAGACTAATTGCTCTGCCACAACATTTTCCATTATTTTGGAGATAACAGGGAGGATTGAAATAGGTCGGAAGTCAGAAACAGAAGAAGGATTAAGGTCTTTTGGGAGAGGAACTACCACGCTCTGCTTCCAACTAGAAGGAAAACTTCCAGTGCTCAGTGATACATTGATCAAATGAGTAATTGCTCCAATACAGAAAGGGCTCAAACCTCTGTTCATTTTTATTGATATTTCATCCACCCCTAATGCAGTACTTAACCCTTTTTTATAAATCTTTACTTGTTCCTTTATCGTTGGAACCAAAGATTTAGATTCTAAGTAGTTAAATCAACCCTAAAATAAGAGAAGACTCATATCTCTGGAAACTAGTTGCCAAAACAGCAACAGTGGATTATTATATGAAGGCATTGTAAACCATTTTAAGTATATTACAGTAATCCGGAGGCTAAACAACTCTTTGAAAATGAAGACTCTTCGTTGAAATTCTAGTCCACTTAACGTCAACCTTCCTTCACTTCAGATTTTAGCTTAGGATGAAAAGTCTACTTGCACTATTCAAAGTAAATGACATAAAATATCTTTTTACAGGATTTTCAGTATAGTCGGGTTCGTTGCGATAGTTATAGGCAGCGGCTGCTCCAGCCCTTGTACCCTCCCCTTCGGCGGTGACCAGTTTGTCACCCCCAGGCATGTCCGTCAACTCCCCATGTTCTTCAGCCTCTCCTACTTCGCTGTCAACGCATCCGCCCTCATCTCAATGTATGTCACTCCCATCTTGAGGCATAACTTCCAATGTTTCGGGGAGGAAAACTGCTTCCCGTTGGCGTTTGGAGTGCTGACGTTCGCCCTTATTATGTCACTGAGTAAGTTTAACCAATAAAGGAATCATTTAAAAATTATATACTCATATTGTTACTTTTTACAACATTTAGTTCATTAGATTAAGTACTACAATGGTACTAATAATATTTTAAATTTGGTTTGTGAAATTATTATTCATTCTCCTCTTTAACTAGTATGTTTATTTATACACGATTGGTAATGTATAAAAGTGGCATTGTATAAACTAATGTTAACCATAACCAAATAATAATGCTTGGTAAAAATTAGATGTCTCTTTAGTGGCCTATTATTTTAGGATTGCACGCTTATACTAAATTGGTTGAGGTTTTAACTACGGTTGTCTTGTTGCAGTTGCTTTTTGGTCTGGAAAAAGCCAATACATTCGTCAAGAGCCCCAAGGAAACATTATCGTTGATGTCTCAAAATGTATAATCGTAAGTTCAGTTTTGGATTCCAGAAATTTTCTTTACGTAGGTAACAATATCTTGATTTTCAAGATTCACTAAAGAAAGACATTCACATAAAAATATATGGGTTTTAAACCTTAACGTGGATCCATATTTATTCAATGAAAACATTAAAATCTCTACTCAATTGAACATGGAATTAAATGTAACAGATTAGATGTAAAAGATTTGTAATGGATTGTCTAAGTTTAAAAATACAAATAATCATGGATAAAAGGCAAGGAAATTTGTCTAACCTGTATCATATTACCTGTTATTCCAGTATTGATTATGATCGATATAGTATTAACTATCTCTGTGTTTTGTTTGCAGCATGCTCTCAAGAGTAAGTTAAGATCGAAAGAGACTAGGGATCACTGGCTGGACCATGCAGACGACAAGTTCAGCAAATCACTCATATCTGATACCAAAGCTGCGTTCCAAGTCCTCTTCTTATTTCTACCGATGCCTGTGTTCTGGGCACTCTATGACCAACAGGCAAGTTGATATTGCTTTGGTAAAAGATATATATACTGAACCTGACAACCAATCCAAATTTCAAATAATTTTGTGGTTATTACTGTACTCTGACTCAAGTCAGACTTTTTTAGATCATCTCGCTAGGAAATGACATATAGTAAACCATACGTATATTCTGGAATAACTTAAACATTTATACAAGCACTTAAAAACCCTGAGTATAATCAGCAAGTAATAATGTGTTTTTATCAAGCATGTCCATTCAATTTTAATTTCATTGTTTAACCAAACCATTGTGGTTCATTTATTCTTTTAAACTGGTTTTATTTAAAATATTGACCAATGAACAAGCATTAGGTTATAGTCTTAGGGTAAAAATGTGTTTAATAGAGAATTTAGTATCGCATCAACCATTTTTATTAGTTTAGAAAATAAGTTATGAGTATACCCGTGGCTGTTTAACTATCTTACTCCCTTAACCCCCTATAAATCTATAAGTTAAGCCTCAATTAATCAACTCTTAATTATTGTTTGCTTGCAAATCAATCTTCATTAGTTAATAATCATCAACTGAAACGATTATTATTTTACAATGATCCTGGACAAATGCATCGTAAATAATCTTTAACGATAGAGAGATTACTTGAAGTGCTTATATTTTCACTTTAAAATATCCCCCTTAGTTCCCTGCATACGTCAATTACACTACTTGTAACTGTATCTTATAGCTTTTCACGTACGACAAAATCTGTGAATCCTATATTACGCAGTGTTTCGAAACCATTACCTGAATTATAAGAATTTGTTTTGATATTTTAAAAAAAGGATGGTGGCCTCTTTTAACCTTGCATTTATCCGTCCACATAAGGCTCGGGTCTTACGTGGAGCGTATCACACTTTTGCATTAAATTGTTTTTAATATTATTTTGATCGGCTTAACTATCATTATAAAATCCAAAAAGTGTCCGTATTAGTATAAGGTTGGAGTTAAAATAGTAAAGTTTCCTAACCCCTTAAATTACATAATATTGATCACTTCCTCTGGAGTTTAGCATCTGTTATTATCTAAGTCTAATTTTCCAGGGCTCCAGCTGGAAGTTCCAGGCCACCCGTATGAACGGTTCCCTAGGCTGGTTCACCATCAAACCAGATCAGATGCAGGACATCAACCCCCTGCTGATTATGGTGTTCATCCCCTTGTTACTTGCTGATTCTTCTTATTTCCCAGGGCTCCAGCTGGAAGTCCACCCGTATGAACGGTTCTCTAGGTTAGTCCACCATCAAGCCAGATCAGATGCAGGACACCAACCCCCTGCTGATCATGGTGTTCATTTCTTGTTACTTAATATCTAATTCTTCATATTTTACCAGGGCTTCAGCTGGAAGTTCCAAGCCACCCGTATGAACGGTTCTCTAGGTTAGTCCACCATCAAGCCAGATCAGATGCAGGACACCAACCCCCTGCTGATCATGGTGTTCATTTCTTGTTACTTAATATCTAATTCTTCATATTTTACCAGGGCTTCAGCTGGAAGTTCCAAGCCACCCGTATGAACGGTTCTCTGGGCTGGTTCACCATCAAGCCAGATCAGATGCAGGACACCAACCCCCTGCTGATCATGGTGTTCATTTCTTGTTACTTAATATCTAATTCTTCATATTTTACCAGGGCTTCAGCTGGAAGTTCCAAGCCACCCGTATGAACGGTTCTCTAGGTTGGTTCACCATCAAGCCAGATCAGATGCAGGACACCAACCCCCTGCTGATCATGGTGTTCATTTCTTGTTACTTAATATCTAATTCTTCATATTTTACCAGGGCTTCAGCTGGAAGTTCCAAGCCACCCGTATGAACGGTTCTCTGGGTTGGTTCACCATCAAGCCAGATCAGATGCAGGACACCAACCCCCTGCTGATCATGGTGTTCATTTCTTGTTACTTAATATCTAATCCTTCATATTTCCCAGGGCTCCAGCTGGAAGTTCCAAGCCACCCGTATGAACGGTTCTCTAGGTTGGTTCACCATCAAACCAGATCAGATGCAGGACATCAACCCCTTACTGATCATGGTGTTCATTTCTTGTTACTTAATATCTAATCCTTCATATTTCCCAGGGCTTCAGCTGGAAGTTCCAAGCCACCCGTATGAACGGTTCCCTGGGTTGGTTCACCATCAAGCCAGATCAGATGCAGGACATCAACCCCCTGCTGATTATGGTGTTCATCCCCTTGTTACTTGCTGATTCTTCTTATTTCCCAGGGCTCCAGGTGGAAGTCCACCCGTATGAACGGTTCTCTAGGTTAGTCCACCATCAAGCCAGATCAGATGCAGGACACCAACCCCCTGCTGATCATGGTGTTCATTTCTTGTTACTTAATATCTAATTCTTCTTATTTCCCAGGGCTCCAGCTGGAAGTTCCAAGCCACCCGTATGAACGGTTCTCTAGGTTGGTTCACCATCAAACCAGATCAGATGCAGGACATCAACCCCTTACTGATCATGGTGTTCATTTCTTGTTACTTAATATCTAATTCTTCTTATTTCCCAGGGCTCCAGCTGGAAGTTCCAAGCCACCCGTATGAACGGTTCTCTAGGTTGGTTCACCATCAAACCAGATCAGATGCAGGACATCAACCCCTTACTGATCATGGTGTTCATTTCTTGTTACTTAATATCTAATTCTTCTTATTTCCCAGGGCTCCAGCTGGAAGTTCCAAGCCACCCGTATGAACGGTTCTCTAGGTTGGTTCACCATCAAACCAGATCAGATTCAGGACATCAACCCCTTACTGATCATGGTGTTCATTTCTTGTTACTTAATATCTAATTCTTCTTATTTCCCAGGGCTCCAGCTGGAAGTTCCAAGCCACCTGTATGAATGGTTCTCTAGGTTGGTTCACCATCAAACCAGATCAGATTCAGGACATCAACCCCTTACTGATCATGGTGTTCATTTCTTGTTACTTAATATCTAATTCTTCATATTTTACCAGGGCTCCAGCTGGAAGTTCCAAGCCACCCGTATGAACGGATCCCTAGGCTGGTTCACCATCAAGCCAGATCAGATGCAGGACATCAACCCCCTGCTGATCATGGTGTTCATCCCCTTGTTCGACATCGTCATCTACCCCTGGTTGGCCAAGTACCGTCTCCTGGAACGACCCTTGCAGAGGTTCACAGTCGGAGGACTCCTGGCAGCGGTGGCCTTCGCCATGTCAGCCGTTCTCGAGTGTAATCTAGAAGTAATGTCCAGGAGTAAGAGTAATGTCTTTTAGTCTTAAAGATTAGGTTTTATTTACTAAATATTTCCTGTTGTATTTTCACGACCTAGAATATATTTGTAAATATTTATCCATATGTGACGTTCATTACATTAGCAGCTTATGTATGGCTTAAAACTTTTTTAGTTGATCTGTAATTACTATACATTTTATAATAATATGTAACGCTATACGAGACAATAGGTTTAGTTTTGAACCGCACGTGAAAAAAAAAAATTTTAGAGCTACTATTACTTTAATAAACTAGAGTCGGGACCACATAAATTTGCGGTTGAGGGAGGAGCCTATTTACCATATGGGTTTGAATGAACCAATGAGAACCGTGCGATGTTGCCAAATCTAATAATACCAGCTGATTTGAAAATATTGCTTAGTATATTTTATTAGTGCGATGTGGCAACGTCGCACTAGCCTTGTCTTGTGATTGGCTGCCACCAACTGCAAACTTACGTGGTCCCGACTCTAGTTTCAAGTCATTTCCTAAAAATTCATTAGCTCTATTCTCTATATTACAACTGAAATTTATTAGCTATATTTTACAACAATTCATAAGCTCTATTAGCAAGTTCTACAAGCAGCATTACTAACCGTTTTTTATATACGGAAAGTTCAAAAAGTACCACGGTTAAATAAAATGTATGTAGGAGTTTTACCTAAAGTCTAAAGTAAAGTCTATATTTTGGGGACAACGGCCTAAAAAGTGTTTTAGACAAAGACGAATGACAAGTGTTGGAATGTATGAGATAATAGTTTTGTTCTTGACTAAAATCATTTGGATCTTTAGCCATGATTTAAGTAAAAACACTATGGTCAAGGAGATCCAATTCACTGTTTAGAATTAACTTATTGTTTCAATCACTTGTTCAGACGACATACCCAGTCCTGCCGAGTCCTGGATTGGCGCAACTGAGGATATTCAACGGTCTGGAGTGTGATGTAGCCTTCACCCTCCCCATGGACCCTCGGTCTGGAGTCATCCCCGCCCTGGACGCTCTGCAGCTCACCAGCATCCCACTGGAGGGTGAGGCGGAGTACGAGCTAAGGTTCATGACTGCTGCTAACTGCTCGGAGTTCAGGAACAGAAGGTTTCATGGGAGAGTCGTCCTGCAAGAAGCTAAAGTGAGGAAATAATATGTAAAAAAAGGCTACTCTTGAGATATTTGTTTTTTGTGACTATAAAATATAATCATTGACTATTGGATACTGAAGTAGACATTCCATGTGTATGGACCAGCTGTTGCCGATTTTTTACTAAAAAAGAACTTATTCACAGAATGTGCTACACTTCGTTTAAAATATTTAGGTGGTTTGAGGGCTAATTCCCCTTTCTTTATTATTGTATGCTGCTTGATCAGCTGTTGAGATATTATTTTAAAGGTAATGGTCAAGCGGAGGAGATAGATTTCTTCCCCTAAACCACCTTAATATTCTGAACAAAATAGGTTACTAAAAACCTACTTTCTTTCTGGTCTTTTTTACTGCCATAGTTTATCGCTTAGAGCAGGTGCTCACAATAAGTAGTTCTACCAGTTTGACTTAGTAAAAAGTCCGTGTACAGATGTTAAATCAGAAATTTACATCAGCACGGTATGTTGATGGCCCTCGTCAACTAAGACAATTTTAATTATAGAACTGTCGACAATTTTATGGGGATGGAATGTCTAGTTGTATCAATAGTCAAAGAATATAGTGTAGTATTTCGGATACTTCTTATCCAGTGTTTAAAAATTCCAAGAAATTTGTGGTTTAACTAAATAAGTTTTTGTAGAAAAAAATAAACTAAAAATAAATTACACACGTTTATAAAAATGTTTTTGAGTTTACATAAAAGCTATTTTACCATATTCCCTAACAACTTTTCAAGATTTATTTGTTTATAATGTAAAACAAAATAGCCATACCAAACTTTATCCATTTTGTTTACATAATAAACAAATAAAACATGTAAATATGATGTTACAACTTTTGGTGATTGATGTTTTCCTTCAGGCCAAGTCAGTCTTTCTTCACACCATCAAAGGAGTCCCTGTAGTTTCTACGGTTAACGAGACTGACGAGATAGACAAAACTGATCTTGAAAACCCTCGACTCAGGTATTCCTGTGTTTTAGATAAATCATAAGTATTGGGTAATTTCAGTATTTATTTTTATATTATTTATGCTGCTGGTGTAACATCAGATTGAAAATACCTCCTATTTGTTGAGTACTAGGAAAATAATAATTTTTAAAAGGTAAAGTAACGTTTCAACTTAGGCTCAAAACCTCCTTTGTCTTATTCTGTTTATTTCTTGTTTCTATTTAATGTGATTATCTTTGGAGAATTTGTACATGTGTATGTAAGTAATCTCAGCAATAGTTGCAATGGCAGCGAAATGTAAGATTGATCTTTGTACCGATTTCATACACAGCCTTGAGATTCTACGTGGACACAGCTGTTTTATGAGATGTATGAGACTAATTTAAATTTTACGAGAAGCTCTGTCTGCATTTTAAATAACTGTTACTGTTCAAGGGTCCTTCACAGCCTCAGACCGTTCCAAAGCGAGTTCTGGCTCTCCCAACATAAGTACCATGAGATGTTTGAGTTTGAGAAAGACACTTTCTCCACTCCATACAAATCTGTTGTGGAAACTGGCAGGTACGTTTAGTGTTTTTAATCGTCGTTCCTTCCCAACATACAAAACTAATATATACAATGAATGCAAGCATGTGTTAACAATGATTTGAATGGGAAATGAAACCATTTACAGAAGAGGGCAGACAGTCAGCCACTATTAAAATTGTTCCTATAACATTTTAGGGGTAACCTAACCTAACCTAACATAATGAAATGGAAACCCAACATAGAACCTAACCTTACATGACCTAACCTAAGAAAACCAAATCCAACTTAACTTCATTTCCATAAGTTATGTATTGCAATTAAGTTATGTAATGTAATTAAATTTTAACTTAAATGGTATTTAAGTTAAGATTTTAACTGCCAGCTACTGATTCAATTTCTACTGATAAAGTCCTTCACTGAGTTTGTTCTCTCAAAACAATAAATTCATATTGGATACTTTACTAGGTGAATAAAGAATTTGTTTGTCACTTTTCCACTATCATAGCTTTTACAATGTTCAAAGGAAAATAACGCTGTTTAGTAGTTAACATTTTTGTTTCACTTTCTTCCACTATTTGATTGTTATTCAATTAATTATCGCAGTGGTTATTAGATGTTATGTTGGTATTTCAGCTAAATAATATAAATGTATATTGCAAACGTTTACTTTGTCTTTCTAGTTTTACTGCCATGTTAGCCAACAGAACAGTCTATGGAGATATCAAGCTAGGACCTGCTGGTATATATACTCTCATTCTTCACTCCCACAATAACTTTACGGTGAGTAAAGAAGTAAATGATCTTTAACGCTTTTTGAAGAAATGTTTGCCTCTAATTGTATTTCGATATCTTATATTTATCTGAGTACTGCCATAGACAAAAAGAATTAAATATAGACTGTCAGCCGTGCTGTGATTACCATGGTTACCATAGGTTCTGGTGCACAACGCTGGGAGCACCGTGTAGTTACTTAGCACGTAGGCCGTAATTACATGGCATTCCCAGCGGTGTGCACCAGAACATATGATAACCGCAGCACAGCTGACGGTCTATATTTAATTATTTTTGCCTATAGCACTGATTTTTAAATAATATTCATATTTTTTCAGATAGGTCACGTCATTGAGGTGACCCCTCCCAACAGTGTGCACATGCTGTGGCAGCTGCCTCAATACATCACTATAACTGTGGCTGAGATTATGTTTTCTGTCACTGGCAACGAGTTCGCATACACTCAGGTAACAAGTGCTAGAGTAGTAACAATACAGAGGCAACGTCTCAGAGTGCGGGATTTGGTGACTAAGCTTTTAGTTCTTGCTGTATCCACAAGCAACACTCATATGCATCCCTCCAACCAATATAATTTTTTTGTTGCTATTATTAAAATCAATCTTCTATTCTTTCCACTCGTACGTAGGTTCGCGTTCTTGGGCCAATTATACTTGGGCCAGTATATTTCAAATAAATTAAATGTACAAAATTATGGTTTGACTTGGAGAAATAGAAAGTAGAAAGTAGTAGAAAGTAGTAGTAAATAGAAGTGAGTAATCGCTCATAACGAGGCTACTTTGATTCCAATACAACACCCACTTGCAACAAATACTTCAAAGATCCATTTTGTTATTATATCCAGAGGTGTTTGTAAAGTATCAACATTAAGTTAATTAAAATCAATTTAAATTGAACTAACATTCTAAATGTTTTGGTGGTAAAATTACGCTTCATACAAGAGTGTTGGTTTTTGAATATACAATTTAATTTTCAGGCACCAGACTCGATGAAGTCCGTGATATCCGCATCGTGGGCGATGACTGATGCTGTTGGCAACTTTATTGTGGTCATCATTGCACATGCGCAACTGTTCGACAGTCATGTGAGTTGGTTAGGTTATGTTTGAAGCTAGGTTAGGGCAGCGCGGTTAAGGTTATGTTTGAAATTAGGTTATATTACAATGAGAAAAGCTAGTTTTGGTTTGGATTTAGGATTATATTTGGTTGGATGATAGTCAAAGTAGTCAAAGTAAAGACATGGAAAGTCTTACAGGCCTAGCTTACATTTAGGTCCGAAAAATATGAGAAGGGTTATGTTTGAGAATGTTAACATTTAAAGTACAGTGGCACTCAATAACAAAAACCTTGATAGTAATTAAGTCACCATTGAAAACAAATTTAAACACCCTAGAATTAATTTTAGGGTCCCTAGTCTCATCTTTTTGGAAACCTCGATAAGTAGTCAACTTTGCTAATAAGTCTTATTTAATAATGCCCATAAAATTCTTGTCATCGAGGTCCTACTGTATTCTATTTCCAGTTGATAGAGCTCTTAACAAATTAAGACAAGTGCACCATTGTTATTGGATTTAAATCATATAATCTGGGTATTTCTGTTAGTAAACTATAATAATCTGACACTTATCTGATGTCCTATAAACATGATGTTTTAAAGATACTTTCCTCTTGTCCTGTTTCACAACGTCCACATGTTGCCTACTACGCTATTCCTTTTTCTTGCTCTCTCTCTCTGCCTTATCTAGATAATCTCTTAGGCCTATATAGTTCGTCTCCCTGTCTCTGACACATATTTACTCCTACTCCTTTCCTTTGTTTCTTCCTATTCTATACATTCTGTATTATGGCTTATCGGTCTCAACCTCCTTTAAAAATCACTTCCAAACTACTTTACCTCATCATTCACACATATAATTTTGTTTCAGGCAACGGAATTCTTCCTATATTCAATCATCATGGTGTTAGCCATGGTACTGTTCATGTTAATATCTTGCCAATATCAATACTACGACCCTATCAAAGAGACACCGCCAACTATATCAGCAACGATACCGCCTCCCAGTATAACGCCGACGTCATAGCGAAGGCAGTAGAGATGTTGTTCATATCTGTGATTATTAAGGTTCAAACAAAAATGGCTGGATTGCATATATGAGAGAGTTGCAAGCAGCATAAAAGAGGATAGGATGTTGTTAATGTAGTAGTTAAGTTTGCTGTTAACTAAATGAAATAAACGATCATGAAGTTTGCAACACTAAATGAACATCTACTATTTTTCAAACTAATTAAATTTCAAGGTCCTTTGAAATATTGAATCTTTATTTATAATTTATACTATCAATGAGTTTGAATAATGAGTTTATGATGTTTGACTATTGACACAGTCAATAGCTTTTATATATTTGTAAAACAAGTCAACTTTCTCAAGATTTCATACCAAGAGATGCAGGGTAGAAACTTTTATTTTAAAATCAAGTTCAATAAAAGGGTACTTAAGCTATTTTGTACAACCTATTTTTTATCACTTTAAAGACAACCCGCGTTCGCATTTCAATATGTATTTTTTTATTTAAGTGATTGCACGTTTTATAAAAACCTTAAAAGTTACAAATTATCAGCAAACTTACACGGTATATGATAAGGTTCTAAAATAAAACCTTATTCTCTGAGGTTCTGAAAAATATATTTTTCATTTTTGTAATATTTTTGTACATTGTCACCATGTTAATAAATTTATGTTGATATTAACATCTTTTTCTCAATTGATTGACCCAAGTACCAAGTTCTTTTAAAATATTTGGATATGTTTAAACCACATATTTGGTATGTTTAAAACATATATTTTATGTGTTTAAAACGTGAGTTGTATATATTTAAAACATATGTTTGATATGTTTTATACATATAATATATGTTATATGTTTGATATATATAGATATTCATTGTGTGTTTTAATGTTTAAAATAATTATTTTATTTTAATATTTACTTGGTATTTTTCTCAAATATGTAACATCTACCGTATGTATGCACTGTATACCTACTATACGCTCAAGATCAACCCAGCGCACGTATTTGTCAACCAACTGTTCGTACGTGAGGGGTTTTTGGATTTCGTCTCTTTCTTGCGAAATATAACGCTTATAACATATACTAAACTAGCTTGTATCTAGTTCCTAACTCATAATAGAATATTTTATGTAACACAAACTGTTCTGTTGTTAATAAACTAGAATAAAATATACTTTGTTAATTTCGTACATAGAGTAATATATGAGTTTCGTTATCCATGAATGCACATGATTAAAAATGGGAAGGGATATGTGTATAATCTTTTCAATTTCGGTAATTGCTACAACAAATTGAAATGTATCAATTTTGTAGTCGCGTTTTACGAATTAGAATGTAGCTTGTAAATTCTGAGTCGTTAGAATTATTTGATGAGAGTAGTGGAGAACTGCCGGTTTTACCTCACTTTAGACACGTTTTTCCCATGTTATTCTTATGGGGATTATTTTTGGCCACCAAATCTAAAATCCTGATCTTTGCCTGCAAATCCCTATACAAATTGTCAAACCTTATTTCTTAGTTATTCCCCATAAATATATTCGATATTAAGCAAAAATAAAAAAAAATCATTTATTGACCCATGTATGTGTATATGTATAGTAGTATAGGTTGTCGCGGCCGTTTTTTGTGGTTCGAGGTTTTTGGGCCAACTCCCCCCCTCCCCCCTCACCACTCCCCTCTGCCCCATGCACAATTGCTAGTACATCTATTATTCCCCTTTCCAGTTGATATATTATATTTCTATTTCAAAATCATGTATGTGCGAACTCGGCTCATGGCGTGGGCACGCTCCGGGCTCCTGCTTCTTGCCTCTAGTGGTGACGTGGTGAAAATGTCACTCCCTTGGGCTTGCTCCTTGCTAGTCTTGGATCTGTTGAAGTAATTTTTACAAATTTTTAATTTCTAGCTGAAAATTTTTAAAATTTCCAAAATTTTGAAATTTTCGAAAAGTCTATAAATAGAAGTGGCACAAATTTTTTTTTTGTTATATATAAAAATGAGGCCCACCTGTCAACACTGCTCTGTGTCGCTCTCCACCAAAAGTAACCTGATTCGCCACTACAAGGTAATTCATCAAATGAATGTATGTAAAGTTTGTAATTTAATCTGTGATAGTAACATTGCTCTAAAATCACATATATTACAAAGTCACAAGAGTTGTAGTTTTTGTAAGAAAAATATTGTTGGACATTTTAGAAGACATGTAAATTCTTGCAACAAATGTCCATACACGATGATTAAATTTGTTGGTGAATCGATTAGAGCTGAACTTGAAAATAATCTCAAGTCTTGTCCTCTGCCGATAAAATGGACGTTAGTTAGGAGAATCAAATTTATAAAATATTCAATGGATCAAAATGGAAAATTAGTTAATGAGAAAGATTGTATTGCGGATTTTAGAAGCCTTACTATCTTAACTATTGAGAAGAGAGATTTAAAGCCTCAAATTGAAAATGCACTTTTAAAGATTGATGCTTCCATACACAAATATCAAGCCCAAGACAGTGGATGGATATATGACCATACTAAATATTGGCAGTTGCACATTTACAAGTATAAACCCCTAACTCCAAAATCATATATCCCCACACCAAAAAGTATTCAATCAAAACATGCTGTTTTAAATATAAAGAATTATGATAATAGATGCTTTCTTTGGTCGATTTTAGCAGCTTTACATCCAAGGCATGCAAACAATGCTGAAAGGGTTTCTAATTATGTACCCTATGAAAGTCAGTTAAATATGGCAAATATAAAATATCCAGTAAAAATATCTGATATAGATAAATTTGAAACACAGAATAATATAAGTGTTAATGTATTTGGGGTTGAATATGATAAATTTATATATCCATTAAGAACGACTAAACTGAATACTAGTAATACTCATGTAGATTTATTATTATTACAAGAAGGTCGTAAATCACATTATTGTTTAATTCGTGATTTTGATAGGTTAATGTTCCACTCTACAAAACATGGCCATAAGCAGCATTTTTGCAAGTTGTGTTTACAACATTTTTACACTAATGATATATTAGAACGTCATGTAACATATTGTAAAAGCTTTGATGCTCAACGAGTGGAAATGTCTAAACAAGATACATTACAATTTAAAAATTATAAATATCAACTTAAAGCCCCATATGTAATTTATGCAGATTTTGAATGCTTTATAAACTCTAATATACATATTCCATCGGGATTTGCATTTGTCGTAGTAAAAGATTCAAAAATTATTTCTGAAGAGTTGTACAGTGGCACAAATGTTATGGATGTGTTTTTTGAAAGATTATTTCAGGCTTATGATTATATTAAAAATCAAATGGCAATATATATTCCTCTTCAAATGACCCCTGAGCAAGAGGTATCTTTCCAAAACTCAACACATTGTCACATTTGTGAAAAGCCCCTATATTTTGATAGGGTGAGAGATCATTGCCATTCCTCTGGACAATACCGTGGAGCTGCCCACAATGATTGTAATTTAAACTATAAAGTAACAAAGAAAATACCAGTATTCTTCCATAACTTGAAAAATTATGATGGTCACATAATAATGCAACATTTGGGAAAGTTTAATAAACGTAAATTAAATTGTATAGCTAAAGATATGGAAAAATATATATCATTCTCTGTTGATGATTTAGTATTTTTAGATTCATACAACTTTCTGTCCCTTCCATTATATAAATTGGCTTCCAATTTGAACACATTTAGATTCATACAAAATCCACTACTACAACGTAAAGGTGTGTATCCCTATGAATATATGACGGGACCAGATAAGTTCGCAGAGTCTCTACCCCCAATTGAAACATTTTACAGTTCTATAACTAAAGGACATATCTCTCCCAATGAATATGAACATGCTAAAAATGTATGGACCCATTTTAATATACATAATTTACAAGAATATCATGATTTATATCTTAAAACAGATGTATTGCTACTGGCTGATGTGTTTGAGACATTTAGAGACCTGTGTTTAAAAGATTACAAACTTGACCCTGTACATATGTATTCACTTCCTGGACTTACATGGGAGGCCTGTCTTAGAATGACAGGAATAAAATTACAAATATTCAAAGATGTTGACATGCATTTGTTCATAGAAAGTGCGATCAGAGGAGGAGTCAGTATGATTTCTACACGTTACGCTAAAGCAAATAATAGATATATGGGTGAACACTATGATCCCAATCAAGAGAGTGTCTATTTAATATATTTAGATTGTAACTCACTATACTCTACAGCAATGTGCGAGCCACTGCCTGTGGATGGATTCAGTTGGACTAATGAGATAGACTACAAATATAATCAAAATGATGAGTTTGGATACATTTTAGAAGTTGATTTAAAATATGATAAAAGCTTACATGATTTACATAATGACTATCCATTAGCACCAGAGAAAATGAATGGCAAATTAATACCTAATTTAAATGACAAAACTAAATATATTTTACATTATAAAGCATTACAAAAATATGAGGAATTGGGTTTGATTGTAACAAAATACCATAGAATTTTAAAATTTAGACAGTCTAAATGGCTTGCGCCCTATATTAATTTTAATATTGAAAAACGCAAATGTGCTAAAACTGATTTTGAAAAAGACTTTTATAAATTGTTAAATAATAGTCTCTTTGGTCGAACAATCATGAATCAACGCAAGTTTCGTGATATATATCTCAAGGATGAGTCACTATTAACAAAATATGTCACTAATCCAAGGTTTGACTGTAGCAAAAAGTTTGATAACAATTTACATGCTATACATTTAAATAAATTAGTTGTAAAGTTTAATAAACCAATATATTTAGGAATGACCATTTTGGATATCAGTAAAGTAATAATGTATGATTTCCACTATAATTATATGTCAAAATTTAAGAACAAAAGATTTCTAATGACAGATACAGATTCATTAATGTATGCTATAGTTACAGAGGACTTTTACAAGGAAATAGAATGTGACTTACACTATTTTGATACCTCTGGATATAGTA